CATATATATATATATATATATATATATATATATATATATAGACTTGGGATCATGTGAGACCAGCCTGTTTTCGTGAGACCAGCATTTTACACTTGAAACTTCACAGCAAAATGTTGTGAAGGTGACTTTTTAAAACCTTCACAGTGTTTTTGCTGTGAAGTTTACGTGTAAAAATGTGGTCTCACGGGTCTCACGAAAACAGACTGGTCTCACGTGAATCCAACCACATATATATATATATAAAATAAATATATATAGTTTCAACATCAAAACAATAACTTATTACAAACAACGCTTCAATTCATAAAAAAATGGTTGGGTGGTTTTTGAATTAGAGATGTTAATGCTAAAGACTAAAACAATATGAAAGTGATGAAATCACTAACAATTGAAACAATACAAAATTCTTAACCAAGTCAAACATCATTAAACCAGTAAAAAAATAGATTATTTTATAAATTCTAGTTTATTGCAATTAATAGACTAAACAAAAACATGAATTAAAAATACATAAATTCTTACAAAACACAATCAAAAATAAATTTGAATATAACCTTGTCAATTGACCTATAAATGATGAATCCACTGACATTTATAAGAAAAAGAAGAACAAGTATTCATGACGATGTGGAGAAGAGGACAAGAAAAGTAAAAACCAAGAAATTAACCGAGTTCTGAAGCAAACTAGAGTGCAGGACAAATACCAATCACATAGCGCCGCTATTAGCAGTACCACGATTTTCCTCGCCACATGTTTAACAACATAAATTGTCGGTGGTTAAGTACTAACCCTTAAAACTTGATTTTATTTAAATATGTTCAACCTAACTCAATTCAGTAGAAATCGAGTTGGGTTAGATTATACATTAAATTTTTTTTTTTTGAACAAATTTTGAATTTTAGGTTAAAATAGTGAATTGATTTACTTAATATTTTCAAACCGATGAAGATCTGAGTACACAGGACTCTGATTTGTTCGACAAGTTCAATAGCAGAAGCATTCCTAGCTCCAAAAAAAAGATGAAATAACATATGTCTAATATATATATATATATATATATATATATTAATTATTAAGTAGTGGTGAATAATATTATTAAATGTAAGGATATTTATTAATATATTGTTGCATGGTGGAATTATTAAATAACAAGGGGATCTCCGTATGAGGTGGAAATGTGGAATCCAGTTGTCGGTGGGACCAAATACTATCGTGAAGTACATCGTCAGCCGTACATATAATTTTACTTTTCTCATATTTTATTCGAGTGGACGTAAAGTTCCATCTAAACACTTTAAAAAAAAAAGTAAATTATGTTTCAAAAATACATATTTGTTATTTTGCTAGTTTATAAAAAAACTTACCCAATAAGTGTTTATCAGTAAAATTCAATACTATTATTTACTTGTCGGATGAGATTTTAGTCCATTAAAATCTTACCATACGTAATAATTTACCCGATAAGCTCTTACCGTGGTAAGACTCGTCACCTTCACTTATCGGGTAAAACTCGTGATCCTTGTCTCGTTCTTACCATGTAAGACTTTTGGTAACATTTTAGAAAATCAAAAAATGGATTGTTGGTAAGTGTTAACTGGGCAAGGTCTTCTCACCATTTATCGGGTAAAATTATTGGTTCTTCTTATGACTCTTACCGGATAAAATCTTGATCCTCTACATGCTCACCCAATAAGTTTATGACACTTGGTAACCGCTTACCCAATAAACAGTGGCGGACGCAGAAAAATATATCGTAGGGGGCACTATACTCCAACCAATTAGCATATTGATCAAACTAAGTCGGACAAAAGCGTCTTCTTTTACTCCCGACAAATTTTTTTGGAAATGCATGACCCTGTGGTTGACAAAATTAACCTAATCTAAAGCATTTACCAAATACCA